AATTAAATTTTAATTAATAAATGCACTGGAGAAGTACCACCTTCATTCAGTAAATTATCTTCCAACCATATTTTAAGATAAATTTTTATTTATGATTACCTTGGCTACTGGGTGGCTTTGTAATGTTGGGCTCTTGGGATGAGTACTGGTAAGTTCTGATTCCCTTTCCCTTCACCGCTCCAGGGTCAAGTGTTACAGGAAATTCTCCATCTAAGATTGGACTTGTAATGGGCTAGAGTCCATTGTTTCTCATCGAGGCTCTTCTTTGTGTGGAGATGCATTGCAGGACATTTGGCATCCTGCTCCCCAGGTAATAAATGCCAGTAGCACCACAGAGTTGATATAATACCAAAAAAGGCACTTTGATACATTTCTTTCCAAACACTTCTCAGGGGGTTAGTACTGTCCTGGTTGAAAACTGTAGGCTCTACCACCAGGATTCCTGGGAGGAGCTACTGAACAAATTCCTTTGGGAGAATAGACTGAAAGTAGGTGGAGCTTGAAAACTGGACTCCTCAACCCTTGTGATGTCTGACTTGTGTGTTCTTGATTCTTAAGCAGATATTTTGAAACTTTGCTTTCAACCCATTCTGTTGTTCTTTATTAAGGGTAGAGAGAGGACAGTGTCTGTTGTATGTATAGTTTATGAACTGGTACTTTAACAAGCATTTCACATCTTAATCACTTGAGCTGTCTCATATTTTTGTTAGGTTTTAATCCCCATTTTATTGATGGCTCTGGTGCGAAGGGAGGTAATTTGTCAAAGCAGTGTCAAAGCCTAAGGGTTTTTTCCTCTGTTTTAAAAAACATAACCTTAATTTATTTGATTGTTAGTTAACCTCTAATTGACCACTTTGGGTTTCTGGTCCAGAAAGTATGGGGACCAGACCTTAAGTGTTCTAGTTCCTAAGCTATGTTTCTAGAAATTTGGGACTTGTGTAGGATGATAATAGCTAACATTTTGGGTGCTAGAAGATACAGCAGTCAATTAAACACACATCCACCTCTAGTTCTTCTAGACACCTACCCACCCACTAGCTTATATATTCTAGTCTAGGATATAGACATTAAGCAAGATAAATAGTAAACCATAGAGTACTAGAGTATTCTAGTAATACATGCTCAGGAGAAAGGTTAATCATGGATCAGGTATAAGAGGTGTGCAGGATTGAAATTTTAGATGGGTTCACCAGGGAAGACCAAATTAAAGTGTTATTTGATGTGAAAGAGAGCTGTGCTAATACCTGAAGAAAGTGTTCCTGGTGGAGAGATAGTGAGGCCAGAGCATATGACTGGTTTGAGGAGCAGTGTTTTGTTTTGAACAGTGTTTTGTTTTAATGTATCAACTCATTCATTCAGCCCTGAGGGTGCTACTACTATTGTCTCTATTCTGTTGTGCAGAAACTGAGAGACACAGAACTTGAAGTCATTGCAAGGGCAGAGCTCTTAACCGATATGTAGGACTGGCCACCCAGGGCCAAAGCATTTCCTCTGCATGAACAAGGTTAGGAATTGCAAGGCCTCTAGAATTTCACTTTCTCTTTGACAGTCCCTTTCCTTTCCTGTTTTTAAAGTTGGAAAGTTTGTTTTACACATAAATCTTTACCTTCCTGGAGCTTATATTCTAGTCTAGGATATGGACAGTGAACAAGATAGTGTATATTATGTTAGGATCTGTCTTTAGGTGAAGAAGAGAATCCAGGGGCCAGGTATAGGAATTTGGGAAAGCTTGGCTTTGACTAAGAATGCTGCTTATTTGGGAATCTGGGAATCTTGAGGTGCGTTCCTGATTGTTTCTCTGTTGGCCAGGGCACTACCCTCTTCAGACCCTTGCTTGGCTAAGGAAACTGAACATGTGCATCTGAGTTCTAGAGTCACTTGGTGCTGGAGATGGGAGGAGTCTGAGAGAGAGGGCATGTAGCCCAAATGCTCCTAGACTGGACGTGAAACTCTGCCTAGGAGACTCCTGGCTTGGCTCAGAGCTGCTGATTCAGAATCTGGAGGGCAGGATTCCATTGTGTTGCTGAGGAAGTTAAAGTACAACCCCGTTAGTGCCTTGCCCCTGCCCCCCACCCCCAGATCACCCCAGGGAGTCCATCATGGAACAGGGATGGGACCCAGGTGTCCTCTCAGCTTAGTACTCCTCACCATGTTGTGCTACTGCCTTACTCTTGAGATTAAAATGTTGTAAAGAAGGGGATGTTTAATTTTATCAGATGGCATTTCAGTTCCTGTTTAATCATCTTCTTGAGGCCTTACTGTTTTTAGAACCCTGGGATTGAAGCAGTACCTAAAGAGGAATGCTTTCTCAAGAAGTTGTATGGTCTCTAGTGTTTTGGGCACCTGGGTGGCTCAGTTAAGTGTCCAACTCTTGCTTTTGGCCCAGGTCATGATCCCAGCGGGTCGTGGGATGGAGCCCTATGCATCCGGCTCCACACTGGGTGTGGAGCCTGCTTGGGATTCTCTCTGTCTCTGTCTCTCAAATAATAATAATTTAAAAAAGGAAGTGGTATGGTTTCCTCAGAAGTTTTTGTAATTTGTTGGAAATGGGAGAGATTCGTTAGCTAAGTTTGGTCTTTCAAAAAAGTGATCTTTGTCATTTTCAGAAGAGCATTTTCTCTGTGAAGGGTGGCTAATGGAAAGTGTTCTGAATGAGAAGGACTTGATCATTTGTTAATAAGTTAATCAGTTTGGTGCTGTAGCTGCATTTGAAGGACTCTTTCTGGAACCCAAGAAGAAATAAAGAAAATACCAGCCACCTGGTTGTGGTTTTTCTGGCATGCCTCTTTTGGGTGGACAGCTGTGAGATGGTTATTACAGTTGGCTCTCATAATCTGTTTGAGTTTTGCTAGATGATTCAGTGACTCTTACCCTTTTGGTCTCTTTTTTTTTTTTTTCCCTACCCTTAGTTAGCATTCTCTGTTCATCCGATTTGGAAGGATGAAGCACAGTAGCCTGAATTTCTCTGAGCCAGGGAGAGAGGCACCTTGTTCTCTATCACTTTGGAAACAGTATGGGTTGGAAGGTCAAGTCTGATGTCTGATGGCAGCCTCTCTTAGGGGTTTGGTCAGGCTGTTGCTTCAAGTGATGTCTCTGAAATGAGTTCTTAGTCTGCAAAGAGGAACATGCCCTAATCTTCTAGAATTGTTTCTGTAAATAGGGGCACTTGGGTGATTCAGTTGGCTGAGTGGCCAGCTTCGGCTCAGGTCATGATCTCGTGGTTTGTGGGTTCCAGCCCTGCATCAGGCTCAGAGCTGACAGCTCAGGGCCTGGAGCCTGCTTCGGACTCTGTGTCCTCATCTCTCTATGCCCCTCCCCTGCTAGTGCTCTGTCTCTGTCTCTCTCTCAAAAATAAACATTAAAAAAAAATTATTGTTTTTGTAAACAGAATAAGATTGACTTTCATTGAGTTTAGATTTTTAAATTTATATTCAACTTGGACACTTGTGGAATTTGGAAAGATTTGATTTTTAAACCTGTCTCTTTGGAGTGGTAGATGTTGATACTTTCTCTCTCACCATAGGCAGATGACCAGTTTGTTTAGAACATGAATGAACTAGAACTAGAAACAATTGTTTTCCATCTCTTGTACAGTAGAACTTTTGGGGTGTGATTCTGAGGTTAAGAAGGATAATAAGAATCTGAGGGTGAGTGGGTTTGATTTCCTGGGTCAGGTGTTGGTATGTCTGATGAGATATTTTTCTTATCCCATCATCAACTTGGCTTCAATTTAGCTTCAGAAAATCTTAAATAATGTCTCTGGTGAGGCCAATAGGTTAAGGAATGTTTTATTGTCCTAGGTCACATAAACAGTAAGGAAACCTATTTAAATGCAAAACCAAATGAAGGAAGTCTCTTTATTTTAGGAGGCAGAGTCTGGGGATAGAACTAAACAAGCAGGTTTCTGAGCGATTTCTCCTCCGCTGGGGTTGGGGTTTTTGAACAATTTTCAAAGCCATGAGATACTGGAAGAGTTAAGTGAGAAAAGGACGAGGGGGCTTTGGATACAGATGTCTGTGGCTGGTGAGGGGGACACCATGAGAATGACTTACTCTGGTGAACTAACGTGTGCCAGGGTAAAAAGGGTGGTTCTTTTTAGAGGAGTCTATTCCGGCCACCCTAGGATTCCGGTGCAGAGCCACGTGGAGCTCGCGGGAAGCCGAAAGCGTTGGCTGGGAGAGTCCTTACCTTTTAGATTTGTCCCCGCCCGGAGTGCGCCTCACCAGGGGAGGGTCCCGAATGGGAACTGGATCAACAGCTGCCGCCTGGCCCTGTAATCACAGGAAGCTGAGGCCGGGTGCCTTTGTATGGGAGCTCCGCGGCCAGACAATAGTTTGTGCTGGCGGGGCCATGTGGCGAGTCACGTGACCCGGGGCTGTTTTCTGCCGGGGTCCTTACCCATCTGTTCTCTCTCGGCTCTTTCTGGGTTATCAGGCGCCAGTCCAAGTCCTCCCAGGCAGCCAGCTTCATGGCCAGAGATTACGAGCACTAACCTTCCTGGCAGGGGCGGTGTGGCTTCGCGTTTATGCAGATTAGCCATGTGTTTCTCACTTCAAGGCGTTCCACAGGAAAAGCCTTTTCCTGTGTTTGGCTCTCAGTGGGCGGTTCCCAGCTTACTGTACTGGGACTCGGCGAGCAGCAGGCGTGCACGAGAGGGATCACAGTACACTGGCCCCCTCCCATTCCACCTCCAGTGCTACGTCACCACAACACAACCGCTCGCGCTCGCATACTGTTGGTGTCATTCATTCGGTGCCAAGATTGCTTTAAAAAATTCCCTTGGCCCCAGTTCAAACAGGAGTACAGCTGGGATGTGTTAGATTTTAGGCAGTCTGCCCTCAATTTGAGATGAGTTATAAATAGCAGTGCCGACTTCCTTAACTACCGCTCTCTGAGGTAAAATGCAGGTTAATTACTGTGGGAATCAATTAGGGGGTTCTTTCGGTTAAAGAGCCAGGGATGCTTTTTTTTATTGTTATTATTAAAAGTCATACAACAAATCTGGCCAGGAATGAATTGAAAGCACAAGGAGTGAGAAATAATATTTAAATGCCCAAATTCCAGGTTATGGCACTAAATTTCTACTGGCCCCATCCAGTTGGTGGTTAGGATGACAGAACAAATGGTAGTCAAGACTTCTGCTTTCCGATGGACACCTTCCCCGCAGCCCCAGCCCATCCATCTCCCCTCCTGTTCTTGCCAGTCTTTGGATACCAAATCTGGCTCCTTGCGGTTGCTGCCTGGGCACTTCCTTTCTGTGTCTTTGGATTGAGACCGAAGCCTGGAGCTTTTTCTCAGTTGGACTTTTATTCCAGGAAAATTGAGAAGTTTATCTTTCTTGGTGGCACTGCAACATGGTGTGATACATTTTGGTGAATAGTATCTTTCTGCTTGGACGTTTGACAGGAGGGGGTTGAGGGGAGCTTCTCTGCTCTTTTCTCAATCAGTCATGGTCCGAAGTTGGAGGATTTGAAGTCCAGTTTGTTGTATCTCAGCAACCCTGAGAGTTGTTAGGGCTTTCCTTGGTGCAATAAGAAGTTGTAAGGGAACCCATTAGCCTTCCGGTCTGGAGGGGCATGTAATGCTTTTTGCTTAGGATAAGGGGACTCTATGCAAATGGACAGTCTACAAGCTGCTCTGAATACATCCAGAGGGTCTAGCCTACTGGGCATCCTTGGCTTTGATGCCCCTAAACTGCGTCTTTTGATGCATTTAATTTGACAGGCAGTGTATAACACGGCCAGTGATCTGGAAAGAGGTAAGTGTGGATGGAGGTGGATTTTTTTCTTATGCCTCTTTTCCCTTTTTTTTATTTTTATTTTTTATGAATGCAAGAGAGTATATAGCAAGAAGCCTGACTTCCCTGATCAAGGGGGCAGCGTTTTCCTCTCAATTATGTGTCTTTGTGGCAGAGCCTTAGCTTTTGAAGTGTAATCACAGTAAAATCTACTCCTGTGGTTTCCCATTGAAAGGATTTCCTCTCCATCATTCCCAGAGTGGAATCTCTGGCTCGTTGCAGCCAGAGTTTGGTGTTTCCCATCCCCTGCCTCTTTCTTGGTGCCTGCAGACTGCTGATACTGGCTTTTCTATCTTGCATGTAGTAGGGATTTTTCTGGCCCGAAATTGCTCTTTTCCAATAAAACTGATTAGTGATGATTTAAGGCCTCTTCTCTGTTATGAGAGATTGGAAGATGGCATCTCATCTATAACTGCAAATCACAAATCTTTCACAGTGGTTTTAAATGTCAGAAGTGTGAGTTAGGTCCCTACTTACCTCCCCTTCTGATATGAGCAAATGTTTAACTTTGACATGAGATCAGAGTAATCAGATTGTTTGAACTGAATATATTTTAGTTTGCTAAGCTGCATATTCTGTTGATTAGAACTCTTTGGTAAAGAGAGGAGGTCAGAAATCTGATGTCCAGGAAAGGGAAATGTCTTAGTTTTATTTTTAGAATAAGAATTTCTTTGACTTGCATTTATTTTTGGACTGCAAAGATTTCCTGAAGTTGAGGGAGGGATCCTTGAAAGGTTTATTAACTAGCGTCCGCTAGGCTAGATAGCTGTCCTCCGTTGGGAGTACAGGACCCTAGATGTGAGGGAGGAAAAGCCTTTTGTGTTTAAGTGGCCTGTTGGGGGATGCCTTTGCAGTTGGAAGACCTCTCTGGTGTAGGATGGCACCTAAGATTCTTCTCAGAAGTATGCTTGTTCTCCCTTAGCTGTTTTTTCTACCCTGCCCTCTTTGTTTCTTTCAGTTCAATCCACTTTTTTTTCTTCCCTGGTTTAGGGTATGCCCCTGATGGGCATCGATGGCTAGATGGTTTGATCTGGGCTTTCTCCCCATAGTTTGTCCCTGCCTACTTCTTAGAGAAGGGCAGTCTGGCACATTGAAGTTATACTGCCCTAGCTCTGCACTTGGGGTGGGGGGGATGACTTTGAAGGTAAAACACCCAATCTCTGGCTTCCTACAACATAGTCTTGAGAGATGCAGTCAGTTAACTATACAACTAGGTGCCATATCTTATGATTCTGACTGAATTTACCATAGGATATTTAGAGATGTGAGAGACCAGTGTGTGCTGAAGAATGGGAAGTGGCTTCCTTTTGAAGGGTTGGTTTTCTACTGGTGGAAGCCATATGGACAGGAGGTCAGGGCAGGGTACCATTGCATAGAGCTGGGCACGCATCTATGTGGGAAACTTTGGGGTGAGTCTGAAAAATGTGTAGAACTGGAGCACATGGTGGAGGGCTTTGGAGCCAGGCAGAAGCACTATTTATCATTATGGATAATAGCTACTATTTATGGGGCACTTAAATACCAGGCACTGTGTGTAGTGTGGTGTGTGCATTTTAGATGAAAAACTTCACTGGTTAGATGAGTTTGTGTTCAAGGTCAGACAGTGCTAGAGTTGGGATTTGAACCCAAGTCTGTAGATTTACTACATTCTTTGCTCTTTCTGTGCAATCACTGTATAAGATGTAGGTAGGGAGTTTGTAGCTATTGTTGAACAGGGAAAGATGAAAATGATTTGTGAGCATTGCTCTAGAACTGTGCAGTCCAATATGATAGTCATTGGCCACATGTGGTTATATGAATTTAATTAAAAGTAAATAAAAATAATTCAGTTCTTCAGTCACACTAGCTATATTTCAAGTACTTAATAGTCACAGGTCACAGAAAATTTTACTGGACAGTGTGTCTCTAAATCTCAGGTAGTAGTATACATTAGAATCATCCAAGGATCTTAAGGAGTGGAGAGGGTGGGTGGGCCCAAGCCTTTGCAGGCTCTCTAAATTGGAATCTCTAGGGAGAGACCCTGAAGCTTCACAGAAAATTCTGATCTGTAGCCTTGGTTGATAGCTACTGCTCTAGAAGCTCCATAGTAACCATGGTAATGACTGTCCCTCTTGTGTTGTGGGGAGTCCTGGACTGACAGAGATACCCAGAGTGGGCTGGTCTCCCTGCTCAGCTCATGTAGTCTCTTCACCTGGGAGATACGTGGACGGCAGCTGCAGTTGGGGATGAGATGAGGATCTAGTCATTATATGTGGCATAACGTAGCTGCGTAAGCCCCTGAGCTGTGTATGGGAGACACTGGTGATGTTTTGGCTTTGTTACCAGGTGTATCTGGGGGAAGACCACATGCCATCTATTACTCACTAGTCCAGGTGTTGTTAAATCTGAATTTCCTAAACAGCCCAAAAGAATCCACGTGGCTCCCCAAAATTAATGACTGTGAGCTTTCTTGGAGCTTCTGATACAGAGGCAGGACTTAAGCAAAAATGGTTTACGTAGGATGATTGAAGCAGCACTTTAGTAATATTGACATGTAGTAGTAATTTGGGATACAGTTTTACTGTGATTCACTGGAAGGGTGCTTCCATCATCGTTACCTTTTTAGCTGAGATTTTTGCTGTAGCCCAAGAGAATTTTGCCTCTGCTTTTTTCCTCTTGCTGTTTAGAACAATAGTTTCTGTGGATTTTTGTCTTCTCCATTTTCCTCATGATAGGTCGACTTTCCCTGTATTATAAAATCATTAGGTAGTACTCTGCCCCGCAATAAAGACATGTACAGAGAACCAGTTATCTGAATGTGCCTCCCTCCCCTTATCTTTGAGGGGTTTTGTTGTTTTTTTAAGGTCTTAACACACCTTAAATTATAGAGTAATTTACTAACTAAAAAGAATAACAGAACAGGAAGGGGGGACCCTAGATATGATCTAGACCAGTGGTTTTTTAAAGTGTGACTCCTGGACCAGCAACATCAACATCACTGGGAAACCGTTAAAAATACATATGCAAGGCCCAACCCTGAACCTACAGAATCAGATCCCCTGGGAGTCAGGTGTGGGTCTCATAAGGCTGTGTTTTAACAAGCCCTCTAGGAGATTTTGATGTAGTCTAAACTTTGAGAACTGCCAAACTCCTTACTTTGAGAGCTAATGATCTTCAGGTCCAGGATATTATAATATCTTATTCGCCATTCCCAAATTAAAATTTAGCTTCCAAGCTTTGTGTCTGGTCCAGGCCTACTTTTCAACTTGGGTATATCTGTTTAAGGTGTTTAGAGACACTCACCCCGTCCCCCCAACCTCTACCCCCACATTGATATGGATGGGCATCTCTGGCTGGAAAATATGCTGGGCTCTGTCCTACATAGCTCCGATAGGGTAGTTATGTCAGAAAGTGAATGAGCTGATTGAACTTGTCACTCAAAGAGCTGAAGGAAAGCTATATAGGTAGCCAAATACTCATGAATTGTACTTTGAGTTTTCATTATTGGTATACCTCTATATCTTGTCCTTTAGAGAGACAAAAGTTCTATCCTTCTTACATATTCAGACTCTTGAAAATTAAAGGAGATGAACTTTTCAGTTGAGATGCCTGCCCAAGGCTCCAAATTCAGAGTCAACAACTATAACTCAGCCACATTACCCATTTGGAAGAAAGCATAAATTTAAGTGCTTGTGCCATAGTGTGAACAGTCTACAGATATGCAGAAAAAGAGATTCTACTGTTTAAAGAGTGGAAACATCTAGATGCTTATGTATTTGAATTCCTAGCCACAGTATTGAAGCGTTAGTTTCGGTGGTGTTGAACAAGATACAGCAGCAATGTCCTCTCCCAACTGAAGGGACTTTGTTCTGATTTTCTGCATCATAGAGTACATATATTCATTGCTCTATACCTGGTCTTTCCCTTGGATCTCAAGTAGTACCACACTTACAAAGTAGTACATAGCTTACAAGATGCTTTCGTGGTGATATTTTCATTTTGCAAATGGTAAAATCAAGGTTCTAAGGAAGGTTAAGTGATTTGCCCATGGGTTACTGGGTCTGTACCATTACTTTTGGACAGTAACTGTTTTCCTATGTGGCATACAGACCTGTACACTTGGGTTTATGTTCATACTGGCCAGGGGCTATCAAAGCTTCAGGTTAATGAAATGCTTTTTATTTTGTAGCCATCCAGTCCAATGGATCAGATGGGCAAGATGAGACCTCAGCCATATGGCGGGACTAACCCATACTCGCAACAACAGGGACCTTCATCAGGACCTCAGCAAGGACATGGGTACCCAGGGCAGCCATATGGGTCCCAGACCCCACAGCGGTACCCGATGGCCATGCAGGGCCGGGCGCAGAGTACCATGGGCGGCCTCTCTTATGCACAGCAGGTAGATGGTGACTCCAGTTACCTTAACCCTTGTTGCTGTCCATGATCTGGTCTTGAGTTATACAATCCGAATGTGTCTCTGGCATCTAAATCTCTTGAAAAGAGCATAGACCAACTGACTCAGTGGGCTACAGTATGCTGCTTACAAGGCCAAGGTTGTGGGCACCATCCCATGTGTCCTTGAAGGAAAACTCCCTGGCCACAGGCTGTAGATAGCTGTATTCTCTGACCTGGCTGGCCTGCTTGTACCCACTGAGTAGTGATCTCTGAAGGAGGTGGGAAGAAAGGCAGCGGCTAGGCACCTATCCACTGCTACCAAGAAAAGCCCCTCATGCCATGAGCCCTGGGGATGGCAGAGACCCTTCATGTTTCCTTCAGCATATAGTGTCTGATTCAAAATGAATGATTAGGAGGGACTGGGAATAGAAGTAAAGGGGAAGATGGAACCATAACGATGCTAGCAGTGCTATTATAAATGTTAAGATTTCCCGCATCTCCTTTTGTCTGGCCATCTGCACCATTATCTTTTTATTGTCATTTTTTGTTTTGACAGCATTTTCTATCATTTATATTTGAGTATTACTCATACTGAAAATGGTAATGGACAGAATATAAAACCTAACTTCTAAGACTTTAAAGTATGCTCTTAAACATAGAAGATACTGTCACTTTGGAGTTTTTTGTTGTTGTTGTTTTGTTTTTTTGGGTTTTTGTTTTGTTTTGTTTTGTTTTTCCAGTGAGAAGATGGAGGAGAGATGGGTAGATATTATTAGGTTGGCTGTTTTTTTGTTGGGTTTTTTTTTTTTTTTTTTTTTTTTTGGCCTGCTTACCAAATATATCCCCAGTGCCTAGAATTGGGCCTAGTACAAGTAAGCAGGTAGGCTCTCAGATATTTTTTGAATGAAGACTAAATGAAAAAGGGAACCAGAGTAGCTTAGAGATTTGCACACTGTGGGTTACTAAACCCTAGGTTTTCTGTTGGCTGAGCCGGCTGCTAGTAATTATTCGTTGTGGCTAGGGTACGGATTCCTAACACTTATGATAAAAAAGAGTAGGTTCATTGGTGAAAACAGCTGCTCTCGAACTCTTGTTAAGTTGCTGAAATATTAAAGAGTGTAAATTTTCTGTGGATGAATGCAATAGACCGGTAAACAAACCCAACTAGTGACCCAGCGTGGCTGTCCTTCCTGGCTCAGTTTAGAGAGGGATGCTAGGAGAAACCATGGGCCTTCCAAGTGGGAGGCTTGGCTTGCCTGCTTTCCATACCTGTCCTTGGGACGTAGCTTCTGACAGAATACCTTTCTTCATCCAGAAGAGTCTGTGCTAAAAGTATCCTTTCCTTTCCTACAGATTCCTCCTTATGGACAACAAGGCCCCAGTGGGTATGGTCAACAGGGCCAGACTCCATATTACAACCAGCAAAGTCCTCACCCCCAGCAGCAGCAGCCACCCTACTCCCAGCAGGCACCATCCCAGAACCCTCACGCCCAAGCTTCCTATCAGCAGCAGCCGCAGTCGCAGCCGCCACAGCTCCCGTCTTCTCAGCCTCCCTATTCCCAGCAGCCATCCCAGCCTCCACATCAGCAGTCCCCGACTCCATACCCCTCCCAGCAGTCCACGACCCAGCAGCACCCCCAGAGCCAGCCCCCCTACTCACAGCCACAGGCGCAGTCTCCCTACCAGCAGCAGCAACCTCAGCAGCCAGCCTCCTCGACGCTCTCCCAGCAGGCTGCGTACCCTCAGCCCCCGTCTCAGCAGTCCCAGCAAACTGCCTATTCCCAGCAGCGCTTCCCTCCGCCACAGGTAAGGCGCCCTGCCTTTCACCCTTCCCTACCAGTGACTGCAGACAACTCAGGGGTCCGTGTCCTGAGAACTTTGCCATACAAATCGGTTCTCTGATGTGCACTTAAAAACCAATTAAACTCTGGGTAAACCTGCTAACTGGATTGATTGAACTAATAAAGGCATAACCTTCTTAACTGCATAAAAACCTGTAGCTCTCCTTACCGATGAAGAAATAGGACAATGGAAAGTTGCAGAGATGGGTAAGAAATTAAAGATAAAGGGACTTTTTTTTTTTTTTTTTTTTTTTTAGTTTTTATACTAGCATTCAGAACTTAAGCGTCTAAGTGAGTTTGGTCCTTTTAAAAATAGTTACTTTGGGGGGGGGCATACTGTATATTCATTCCAACTGCCATTACATTCTGTTGCTGCTCAAAATATTTGGGACCCCTTCCTTTGAAACTGCCATCAGAGCTGATATCACATCCTTTAGAATATTTTCCATGGTGGCGAGTCCTTTCATTTGTTGAAGGTGGATTTGATTTTAGGAAATAGCTAAAATTCATTTGTGGTCATGTCTGTGAACAAGGTAGGTGATAAAGCTTATAAATGACAATTTGGGCTTTATTCGTTAAAGAGCAAAACAGAGGAGAACTGACTGAATGATGACAGATCCACTAAAGATTCTGTGCATTGGTGGCATTCTTGGAATAAATATCTCCTCCTAAGGCAAGGTCTTTGAAGGAAGCAGTATTCATTTTAATGCAGAGGTTCTAGCATGAGGGTTTTTTTTTTTTAATTAATTAGTCTTATTCCTTGATAGATAAGAATTGTAGTTAGCCATACTTTAGCATTTAACCCCAAGGAACAACTTTCTGTGGTGATAAATGGTCAGCAGTGCCATTCAGGAAGAGTCCTACATCCACTGTTGAAATTTTTTTTTAAACCAGACCAACAACTTTTTTTTAATTCCAATTAGTTCATAGTATAATAGTTTCAGGTGGATAATATAGCGATTCAGCAGTTCCATACGTCACCTGGTGCTTATCGACTTGTGTCTAGAGAGCCACAACTTGTATTTTTTGCCTTCAGATAATATTACAGGCAATTGGGCAGTTTCTTGCTCTCACCTGCCCTCTGTAAGACAGTCCCATAGCCCTTTGACCATGAACTGAGCTTGCCTGGTTTATCAATACCAGGCCTTCACAGCTTTTGTTTTCTTCTTTTAGGAGTTATCTCAAGATTCATTTGGGTCTCAGGCATCCTCAGCCCCCTCAATGACCTCCAGTAAGGGAGGGCAAGAAGATATGAACCTGAGTCTTCAGTCAAGACCCTCAAGCTTGCCTGTGAGTATTCTTGCCAACCTCTAAAAGACGGTGGGGCAGAGAGGAAAGCAAAGAAAACTGGTTTCTGGTTGGATGTTTTGGCGGTATGACCTAAATAAACAATGAGCTTATTCCTTGAATTCAGGTTGAAAATTCTAAATAGGAATTTATGGCCTGACCTTGTGGAATGTCTGTTTTGGCTCCCTGCCTGGAGAATAAGTTTGTGAACTCTATTTAG